CCTCATAATACCCTTCATTGGCGAGACTTTCAAGAGATCCTTCTCGCCTACTATAAATGATACATCACATGCCTTCTGATACGCATAACTCTTCTGTCTGGATTGTGCCGTGTAAAGTCGCTCTTGAATCAACCTTACCTTTTCCAAGGCATCCTTTACCAAATCAGTACCATATAACTTAGCCTCGCCGGGCTCAAACCACCTGAAGGGAGAACAACATTGCCGACTATATAAAGCCTCAAATGAAGCCATCTCGATGTTGGACTTATAACTATTATTGTAAGCAAACTTGGCTAAAGGTAAGAATCGATCCCACTACCCCCAAAGTCTATCACACATGCTTTGAGCATGTCCTCCACGATCTGAATTGTCTGCTCTGACTGCCCATCAATCTGTGGATGAAATATTGTGCTGAGCTCCATACGGGTCCCCAACTCACTCTGTACGGCTCTTCAGAAATGTGAAGTAAATTGACGGTCTCTATCTCTTGAATAGCACTGGGTTGTTGTATCTCTTGAATATAAATCCGGGCTAACCTCTCTAAAGTGTATGTGGTCACCACCGGAATGAAGTGTGCTGACTTGGTCAACCTGTTGAAAATGACCCAAACTGCATCAAACTTCTGCAAGGTCCGCGGCAATCCAACTACGAAGTCCATAGTAATACGTTCCTATTTTTGCTTCAGTATAGTCATCTGCTGGAGTATGCCAGCTGGCCTCTAGTTCTCATACTTAACCTGTTGGCAATTTAGTCACCTAGCTACATACTCAACTATATCTTTCTTCATCCGCCACCACCAATAATGCTGCCTCGGGTCACGATAAATCTTTGTAGCACCTGGGTGAATGGAATACCAAGAACTGCATGCCTGCTCTAGAATCCTCCCTCTCAAGCCATCGACATTAGGAATACTTAGACAACCCTAGACTCGCAAAACACCATCCTCGCCGATAGAAACCTCCTTGGCACCACCCTGTAGTATTGTCTCTTTGAGGACCATCAAATGTAGATCATCAAACTGTCGAGCCTTGATCTGCTCCAATAGTGAATACTGAGCAACAACACATTCAAGAACTCAGTTGGGCTCTGAAATGTTCAACCTCACAAGTTTGTAAGCCAAGGACTGATGTCCAAAGCTTATGGCCTCTCCTCTGCTGTAATGAATGCCAAGCTACCCATACTCTCTGCCTTCCTGCTCAAGGCATCCGCAACCACATTCGCCTTGACCGGATGACATAGAATGGTGATGTCATAATCCTTCAGTAACTCAAGCCATCTGTGTTGCCTCAAATTGAGATCCCTTTGCTTGAACAAATGTTGTAAGCTGCAATAATCAGTGTAAACCTCACATGACACCCCATACATATAATGACTCCAGATCTTAAGAGCATGAACAATCGCGGCTAACGTTAGATTGTGCACAAGGTAGTTCTTCTCATGGACCTTCAGCTGACGTGAAGTGTATACAATAACTCGCTTGTCCTGCATCAGTACACAACCCAAGCCAACACGTGAAGCGTCGTAATAAACCGTATACATCCCCAAACTGGAAGGCAACACTAGAATTGGTGTTGTAGTCAAGGCTGTCTTGAGCTTATGGAAGCTTGCCTCTCAATCATCGGACCAACGGAACGGAGCACCCTTCTGGGTCAATCTAATCAAAGGTGCTGCAATGGATGAAAAGCCCTCCACAAACCGGAAATAATAACCTGCTAACCCCAGGAAACTCCTGATCTCGGTCGCGGAAGTGGGATGTGGCTAACTCTGAACTGCCTCAATCTTCTTGGGATCCACCTTAATACCATATCCTAATACAACATGCCCCAAGAATGCCGCAGACTCTAGTCAGAACTCATACTTGGAGAGCTTAGCATAAAGCTTTTGTTCCCGCAACGTCTTAAGCACCACTCTCAAGTGTTTCTCGTGCTCCTCCATACTAATCGAGTAGATCAAGATGTCATCAATGAAGACAATCACAAACGAATCAATATAAGGACTGAACACCCTGTTTATCAAATCCATAAATGTCGCTGGGGCATTAGCCAAGCTGAAGGACATCACTAGAAACTCATAATGGCCATAGCTAGTACAAAAGGTAGTCTTCGAAACATCCAAGTCACGAATCTTCAACTGATGGTACCCAAATCTCAAGTCAATCTTAGAGAACACCCTAGCACACTGCAAATGGTCAAACAAATCATCAATACATGGAAAATGGGTATTTGTTCTTGATGGTGATCTTGTTCAGCTGGCTGTAATAATGCACATCCGCTTAGTCTTATATTTCTTCTTCACAAATAATATTGCTGCACCCCAAGGTGATACACTTGGTCTGACGAATCCCTTTGCTAACAACTCCTAAAGTTGCTCATTCAACTCCTTCAATTCTTTCGAAGTCATATGGTACGGTGGGATAGATATAGGCTGGGTACGTGGAGCCAAGTAAATACAGAAATCGATATCACGATCTGGTGGCATGCCTGGAAGGTCAGAAGGAAACACATCGGCACACTCCTGGACTATTGGCACTGAATCAATCGCTGGAGTCTCTGTGGTAGTATCCCAAACATAAGTTAGATAAGCCTAACAACCCTTCTCTACCATATGTCGAGCCTTCAGAAAAGAGATGACCCGACTAGATGTTCTGACAGATAAAGCCTTCCACTCCATTCTTGACAACTCTGGCATTGCTAAAATAACAGTCTTGGCATGGCAATCAAGAATGGCATGACAGGGGATAACCAGTCCATGCCCAGGATGACCTAAAAAAAGGTCATATCAAGCAACAGAAGGTCCGCTCTAGTCTAGTAACTATAGAATGTGACCACACAGGAATGATAGATTTTATCCACAACTACAGAATCGCCCACATGAGTGAACACATAAATATGAGTACCCAAGGACTCACGAGGAATAGCCAGGAAATGAGTGAAAAGAGATGATACATATAAATAGGTATACCTTGGATCAAATAATACTGAAGAATCCCTACCACTGACATAAATAGTACCTATGATCACGACATCTGAGGTCACTACATTTGGTCTGGCCAGAAAGGCATAGAACCTGGCTGGAGCGCCGGCTAGCTGGCCTCCATCTAACTTAACAGTAGCTGGCTAAACACCCCTGTCTGGCCTCCACCTCTAAGCCAGCCCCTACTAGTCTGCCCTCCGCCTCTGGGCGGTCGGATAGTCGGTGCTGTAATTATGGGCTGCTGGCCTTGCTGAACTGCCCTGCCCCAAGCCTGGGGTAGAATCTCTGTACGTGACTGAGATATCCGCACTCGAAACAACCCCTCTGTACGATGATCTGCTGCCCTAAAGCCTAACCCTGATGGCCTGAAGACCCACTGGAAGAAGCCTAAATAGCTAATGGGCGGTATGAACTCTCTGGCATGGCACTGAAATATTAGCTGGAAGAACCCTTGTGGCCTGAGTACCCACTGGAAGAACCCTGAATGGCTGGTGGGCGGTAAGGACTCTCTAGCATGGCGTTAAAATAGGGTCGCGCCAAAGCACCCCGAGGAGGTGGTGTGTTGGATATGTGGGCCTGCTAGGTTGAGCCCTCCCAAATTGACCTCGGCCCCCAGCTGGAGGCACCTCTAAACTTCCCAGAATAACGGACCCTCTTGTCCCTCTACATCCCTTTTCTACCCCCCAAACGGTATCCCTCAATTCTTCGATCTATCTTCACTACCAGCTGATAAGAAGTCCCCATATCAACCTCTCGGGCCATAGTAGCCTGAATACCCAAGTGCAACCCCGCAAAAACCTCCGTACTCTCTCCATATCAGTAAGAAGTATCGTAAGTGCATGGTGAGATAACACACAGAATCTCATATCATAATCGGTCACAGACATCTGACCCTGCTAAAGTTGCTCAAACTGAAATCGCAACTCTTCCCTCTAAGAGGGTGGAATATACCTGTCCAAGAATAGGCGTGTAAATTGGTCCCAAGTCATGGGAGGAGAACCCACTGGCTTGCCGAGAAGATAATACTGCCACTATCTACGGGCGCTGCCCTCCAACTAGAAAGTAATGAAATCCACCCCTGGGACTCTAATATCATCATGTTGTGCAGTCTGTCCCTGCACCTATCAATGAAATCATGCGGGTCCTCGTGTCGCTCACCTCCAAAGACAGGAGGGTGTAGCCTAGTCCATCTATCCAAAAGCTTGTGAGGCTCGCCGGCCGCAACTGGTCTAGGCTCAGGTACAGTCGCTGCAATTGGCTGGGCTCCGCCCACGGGTAGTGTACCCGGAGTCTAATATATTGCAGCTGCATGCCCAGGAGCCTGAGCAGTAAGGGTGTGTGCTCCCCCTCTTGCCTGAGATATGGCTGGGTCTACTGGAAATAAACCAGCCTAGGTCATAGAATCCATAAACCGCAACATACGGCCCATGACCTCCTGAAACCCCGGTGTTGACAAGAAATCAATCGGGGCTGGCTCTGCTGCGGGCACTTCGCGCTGCTCCTCTACAACGGGATCCTATAAGGGATCCACTGGTGGTGCAACTGGGGAAACTCTGGGATGTCCTCATCCCCTACCTCGGGCCGGTGCCCTCCCCCGGCCTCTGTTGCGCATGATCTCACCATTTGTGAGAGAATAAGAGAAATAACTTAGTATATAATCAACTGCATGATAGAAGATGAATAAAGAGTAGTTTCCTAACACCCTATAGCCTCTCGAAGATAAGTACAGACGTCTCCGTACTGATCCGCAAGATATTATTACGTCTGCCCATAACTTGCGAGACCTATGTGAACCTAGTGCTCTGATACCATATTGTCACGACCCAATTCTAATTTAGGTTGTGATAGCACCCAGCACCGTTGCTAGGCAAGCCAACAATGAATAATCTAGTGATTTTCCATTTTTTCTTTATAAGCTTTTCAAGTAAATATTTTTCCTTAACTCAAAAAGATCTGATAAATAAGGGATTTTGAATAATTAAAATGAAAGCATCTAAATGCAATCATGATCATAGAAATGCAATCCAAAAATCAAGAGTCTACTAGCATGTGCCAAGACCCAGAGTCACAAGTGTATGGGCAATTCTAGCAACATATACAAAAGATTACTAGTCTATCGTCTGAAATGAAATAGACAGGTATATATAACAAAAGGAAGACTTTAGTTGCTGCAGTACAGCTCGGAAGGGCAACTCATCGTGTAGTCTTGTAGGGGGATCAAATATGCATACCGGACTGGTAACCAGATGTACCTGCCTCAGATTCTGTACAATTAAGAACATAAGCGTAGTATGCGTATATAAACAATATGTACCCAGTAAGTATCCAGTCTAACCTCGAAGAAGTAGCGACGAGAGGTCGACTTTGACACTTACTATGGGCTAACAATAATATATTAAAAATGTTATACTAAGCATGGGTTTCATGAATAATACTAAAATCTCAATAACATGAAATAATAAGTTCTTCTTTCACAAATATCAAATCCCAAGTTCAGTTTTATCATTTAACTATTGGCATTTCAAGACATTTAAAAAATATTAATTATGAGGAGTTCCAATGAACTTTTATACACAAATTATGCCGAGGTCGTACGGCCCGATCCAACATAGTATGTAAATTGTGCACTGTCAAGGGTCGAACAACACGAACCATAGATGCATCTATCTGCTACCGAGGCGTTCGTCCCACTCCACAAATAGAAAACATTTTAAATAAAACACATATTCTCATATTTAGTCAAGTGTCTCATTCGTAACTTCAAGTAAATAAATTTTACCTTTTAAAATTTATCTTATCAGCTTCCAATATGACTTAAGAAATTAAATCAACAAGTAGAGATGCAAACATTTTAAATAAAACATGGTACGGGTCCTAGACTACCTGAATAATAGCATAATAGTAGCTACGTACAGACTCTCGTCACCTTGTACGTACGTAGCGCCCACAAATAGGTACACACATTTATTTAATTCACCTATGGGGTTAATTCTCTCTTACAAGGTTAGAAAAGAGACTTAACTCGTCTCAAGGCCTGCTTTCCGGTTCAAGATTTATGTTCAAACCCGCAAATCAGTCCCAAAAAATCCAAAACTATTCAACTAGTGTAAAATCTAATCAACATATGTTCAAAAGTTCATATTCTTACTATTTAAGTGATTACCCATCCCTAAATGTAAGGTTCCTAAAATTTACCCCCAAGTTCACATGCTCGGATTCTGGAAATTTTCTAAGAAAGTTGTTACTCATAACCTTTGGAATATAAATATATGATTTTTATCAAATTCTATAATATGTTTCGTGGTTAAATCCCATTTTTGTCAAACCCTTAGGTTTTCACCTAAGCCTATAATTTTCACTAATTTACATATTATAAAATACCCATAAACTATGTATTTAGCTCACATTATGTAGGAATTACTTACCTCAAAGTGTTAGGTGAAATGCCCTCTCTAAGAGCTCCAAGAATCGCCCAAACAGTGAAATAAATAAGCTCAAAATGCCTAAGTCTCGTATCAAATGAGGTTCCGCCTTCTGCAATTTTTGCACCTGCGAAGGTTTGGCCGCATCTACGGTCTTGCACCTGCAGAAAAATGATTGAAGGTTCCCATTTTCGCTACCTGACCAAATTCCGCATTTGCGGACTCAAGGGACCGCACCAGCCTGCACCTGCGACCATGAATTTCGCACCTGCGGCCTTGTAGGTGCGCCAAAATAGGCTGCCCTCACTCTTTCGCTTCTGTGGCTCGTGGCTCGCACCTGCGGATGGCCAAGTCAATGTGCGATTATGACAGATACCTGATGCTTCAGTTGTTGCTTCCCAAGTCCAAACTTGGTCCGAGCCTCGTTCGATTAACACTCGGGCCCCCCAGGGCCTGCCTGAATATACCATCAATTTTGAAATCATAAAATAGATTCGTTTGAATTCTCGGAACTCCCAAAACAACACTAAAACTAAGAATCACGACCCCAAAATCAATTGAATCAAACTTATGAACTTCAAGTTCTTCAATTTACCTCTAATGCGCTGAAACATCCTTACACTACTCGAAATGACACCAAATTTTGCTTGCAAGTCTTAAATGAAATTATGGAACTATTTGCGGTCTCGAAATTCCATTTGGACCTCGTTATCACCAAAACTTTACAAACCAAATTTAAAGAACTTCTAAAATCTTCAAAGAACCAACTTTCACTGTTAAGCGTCAAAACGCTCCCGGATCATCCAAAACCCAATCCAAACATACGATCATGTCCGAAATCATCATACGAACCTATTGGGCCCGTCAAATCTCAATTTTAAGTTCATTTACTCAAAATTTTGACCGAAGTCAAACTTAGCCTTTTAAGTCAACTTAAGGAACCAAGTGTTCCGATTTCAACCCGAACTCTTCCAAATCCCAAACTAACCGTCTCCACAAGCCATAAATTAGTAAAGTATGTACGGAAAGTCTTATTTAGGGGAACGAGGTTCTAGAAAGCAAAATGACCGGTCGGATCGTTACATTAATCCTGAACAAAAATAGTCACTACTCTATTAAAATTAATACAAAAAGATGGTTTTACCTTTTCTTCATGAGTGTTGTGTAAATATTAAGAACATGGAGTCCTTAATATTTATACAGCACTCATGAAGTTAAGGATATGATGTCCTAAAGTTTAACAACAGAAGGTGCAAATGTAGGGCACTTTGTCCTTAATATTTACACAACACTTATTGTCACACCTCCTTTTTACACCCCGAGAGGGTATATAAGGGAGTTTTTCCAATTAATGTGACATTATTTGAAATAAGATTATTTATTTAATTCATAGAGTTACCACTTGGAATATTTTAATTAGTGCCCCAAGTCACCGGTTTATTTTTAAATCCCAAATCGAGGAAATTTTGACTTTCCTTTTGAAGTCTGCGAACCAGAAATTCTAGCTAAGGAATTTTGTTAACCCGGGAGAAGGTGTTAGACATTCCCGTGTTCCGTGGTTCTAGCATGGTCGCTTAGCAATTTATACTTGGCTTAATTGTTTAACTACTCATTTTTAAAACCTATGTGCAATTATCTTTTTACCACTTTTATTTGAAACGAATCACATGTACATGTACTCATTTTGTTTGGCGCGTCAAAAATCATGTCACGCGAACGTGTTCATAATTAATAACGCTTTATTATTATTACTAACGAAGTTTAACCGAAGTTGCGCGTACGCATACCTCGATTTATTTTGAAAAATCATAACTATGTTACGCGAACATGTACACAATCACAATAGATGATTAGGAGCTTGAGGAAACGAATAGAGTTATTCCAACAAAGTCACAATAAAGTTAACGTAAAAACAAAGACTAACATGTGATAAATTCTCTATGAAAACTTGAAATCATCAAATTAGTAGTTTGTTCATGTACGACTAATATACTACATAAGTCGAATTAACTTTTCAAACTTCACTATCAATCAAACGAAAGGCCCTTAATTTCAGAAGTTCAAAAGAAAAAGTTCTACATAAGAATTCAAAAATCCACTTAACTATTCGAATTGTATAACTTGATAATAATTTTCTTTAACAAACCAACTTCAACCATTGACCTCGTAGTTTTTTCACTAAAATTAGTATAATACAAAGTCAGATAAACATCTTTTACAAAGAAATATTACCTTCTTTTATGAAGTCAAATTCTTAGCCCTAACAAAGGGCCCCACTTAATTAATTGCATGCCACAAAATTAGACGTAAAGAGGGATATGTTTTCAAACAATACTTAAATCAGTTTTTTACAAAATAAGCATGTAAATTATGACAACACATTTAATTAAAACAAATAGCTAAAGCATTGACATGAGATTATGGGAATCAGTAGATGAATTGAAGAAAAGAACGGACCTCTTAGGATAAACTTTCTTCAACATTGATAAAATAAATTTCCAAGGTTGAATTACAGGAGAAAAATGCCGACTACTACTCGACGGGGAACAGGAGGTCAACCAGAGTTCAAAAACTCGCCGGATCCAGATCGCGGATGAATGAGGACCTCACTAGAACTTTAGACAGAGCTACGATAGAACCATGACGAGATCATGGAAAACTCGCCGTAAAGCTCGCCGGAGTTCAAACGGAGACATCACTTAAACTCAAACTATTTTTGATGATTTAACGTCTGTTTGTGAAATGGTTGTTTGTTCTGGGCTAGGATGAAGCCATGGCAGATTTTCTCGTTTTTTATTGAAGGAGACGATGAAGGGGGGGTCTTCTTTTGGAGTTATACGGCATTATTGTTTCTTCGGAGTCTAGGTTTTCTTTTTCAGCTTTTTCCTTAGCTCCCTAGGTCTCTTAGGTGTTCAGGTCAGCCTTGTTTTGTCTTTGTATCTTCTTTTTTTTTGCTTTTTTCTTTGATCTCTTTAGAAAACGGCGGATCAGTAAGTTTTTTAGGGGCAGGTCAATTTAGGGATTAGGTACTATTATATAGGGGTATGGATTAGGTTAGGGTTATGAGTCTAGTAATTATGGGCTTAGAAATTATGGGCTTGGAAATTATGGGTTAGGTCCAAAATTAAGCCTAAAAATGGGTTGCTCGAGCCCAAGTTTTATTCTTTCCTTACAAACGAGATTAAAATATGATCTCATTTATTAATTAGTGCTACTTAAATAAAATAACTATTAAAATAAGGCTGACCATTAAAACAAAACTATTATTAATATTTTTCAAGATTAAAAATGATTACAAAACATTAATGAAACTATTTGTTTTTTGTAATTTTCATTTTCTTGTAATAAAATAAAGTAACGGAGTAAAAATTAGTTGAAATAGCTATATTAGGCCTAAATTAAATTTTTACGTGCTAAAATATGAAAGATCATAGGGAAGGTCAAAAATCACTTGTCTACAGCTGCCCCTCTTTGACTGAAAACGCGAAGAGTTTTCAGATAAAGAATGACTAAATAGGTTTTTTTACCCAACCCTTATTTAAGGAGACCAAAGCCAAAAGAAAGGAGAATGTGACCGAGCCTTGGTATCTGAGCTGCCTACATATCCTTGGCTATAAAGGAATCAGGCCACGTGTAGTTCAGAGGTGAGTGAGATGATGGAGTATACCGAGGTGGAGAGCCGATCGAGGTGCCATTCCGTCGAGGTTCCGGTCCCGTTATTACATCAAAATCAAAAATTAAAAAGACTAACTTAGCCTATCAGCTACGAGTTACAAGATTCATATCTATGAGTCTTTTGAAGCTTGATCTCGAGTCTTGGTTGGTTCTTCATGCGGACTCTGATATGAACCTTGATGCTTGTTAGCTGTAGGTGCTAGTTCATTCCTTTTTCAACTTCTTGGATCAAGGCGGGAAATGAAAAGCTTGTGACTTCAATCACGTCTCGAGCATTCCACTGCACTTTGAGTTCACTTCTTTTTCTTTTCTTCTTTTTTCTTTTATTCTGGATTGAGGCTACTTCTTTTGGTCGTCTCGAACCCTGTGCCTCAAGGTAAAACCTATTCAGATACCAAAACAAAAAAACGAACAAAATTTTTCTGCCCCAGTTTTCACTAGGAAAATTTCGCAAGTTATTGTACCAAAATTTTAAACTACTTCTTTATTGAAAGCAATAAAAGTCAGGATTATATATCCTTGGGGAAAAGAGATTAGGGAGTGAAGACCTTATATCTAAAATGAAAGCAACTAGGGAGTGGAGACCCTATGTTGGAAAAACGACTAGGGAGTGGAGACCCTACGTCTAAAATAAAATCATCTAGGGAGTGGAGACCCTATGTTGGAAAAGCAGACTAGGGAGTGGAGACCCTATGTTGGAAAAGCAGACTAGGGAGTGGAGACCCTATGTCAAAAATAAAATCAACTAGGGAATGAAGACCCTTTGTTAGAAAGATTACGAGGTTATGCTGGCATCAACTAGGGAGTGAGACCCTATGCTGGAAAAGATTACCGACTTGTGTACCTATGCTAAAATGAACCAAGAAAGTTTTTTTTCTTTTTTTTTTAGAAAAATCAACATTTTTTTTAGAAAATCAATCTTTTGAACAAATTGCCCCAACGCCTTTTTTTAAAAAAAAACTGAGACATCCTTTTTTTCAAATTATCCTAGGAGAAAATTTGTCAGACTAGGTTTTCTATCTTAGGAGAAAGATTTATCAGACTAAGATTTTGATCCTAGGAGAAAATTCATCAGACTAGGTCTCTTTTCTTATCTTAGGAGAAAAATTCATCAGACTAAGATTTTGATCCTAGGAGAAAGTTCATCAGACTAAGATTTTGATCCTAGGAGAAAGTTCATCAGACTAGGCCTTCCATCTTAGGAGAAAATTCATCAGACTAAGACGTTTATCCTAGGAGAAAGATTCATCACACTAGGTTTTCTATCTTAGGAGAAAGATTCATCAGACTAAGATTTCGATCCTAGGAGAAAATTCATCAGACTAGGTCCCTTTTTGTTATCTTAGGAGAAAGATTCATCAGACTAAGATTTCTATCCAAGGAGAAAGTTCATCAGACTAGGATTTTCTTATCTTAGGAGAAATATTCATCAGACTAAGACATTTATGCTAGGAAAAAATTCATCAAACTAGGTCCATTTTTTGTTATCTTAGGAGAAAGATTCATCAGACTAAGATTTTAATCCTATGAGAAAATTCATCAGACTAGGTTTTCTATCTTAGGAGAAAGATTCATCAGACTAAGATTTTAATCCTATGAGAAAATTCATCAGACTAGGTTTTCTATCTTAGGAGAAAGATTCATCAGACTACGATTTTGATCCTAGGAGAAAGTTTATCAGATTAGGTTTTTTTTGTTATCTTAGGAAAAAAATTCATCAGACTAAGATTTTGATCCTAGGAGAAAATTCATCAGACTAGGTTTTCTATCTTATGAGAAAGATTCATCATGCTAAGATGTTTATCCTAGGATAAAGATTCATCACACTAGATTTTCTATCTTAGGAGAAAGATTTATCAGAATAAGATTTCGATCCTAGGAGAAAATTCATCAAACTAGGTCTCTTTTTGTTATCTTATGAGAAAGATTCATCAGCCTATGATTTGATCCTAGGAAAAAGTTCATCAGACTAGGTCCTTTTTGTTATCTTAGGAGAAAAAATTATCAGACTAAGATTTTGATCCTAGGAGAAAATTCATCAAACTAGGCCCATTTTTGTTATCTTAGGAGAAAGATTCATCAGACTAAGATTTTTAGGGAGGAAAATCCATCAGACCGGGACTTTTTATCCTAGGAGGCAAAATGTGAAGATCAATGGCAAGATTTTATACACAATAGCAAGACAAATAAAGGTAAAGATTTGAGAAACTTCCCTTTGTCGGCTCTTCTCTTCTTTTCTTTTCTCTTTTTTTTTCTTTTTCTTTTTTTTCCTCTTTTTTTTGAACCACTTTCCTTGCACTGCTTTGTTCCTATTTCACGCAAAGAAAAATTTGTCAGTTTTAAAAATGGTGGTCGGTTTGTGGCCTTGAGTCTTGGGCTGCTTGGTTTCTGCTCAATCAACTTGAGTCGGTTTCAAGAGACTTTTGCTCTGCATCAACCCTAATTATTTCACACCCAGTACCATTTGTATTTGTGGCTTAATCAGCCTTATCCCAACTGGAGACCTTTTCTTAGGTAACATTTACTGATATCTTGAATGACTTCCTGCTTTTTAAGCAATTTATCTGTTAGAGAGAATCACGAGTTATCTTTGCTTGCGCCAAGTAGGCTGACAAGAGTCTTTTGGGGAAGCCTTTGCATGAATCCTCAAGCATGTTGGTAGTAACAACTAAGTGTGCTGGCCAAATTTACTTTATGCAACTAAAAAGCTGGTAGCAGATTTTGAAATCTTTTCTTGCTTGTTTTGAGAAGGACTGACTCAAAGTGAAAGACACGATGATGCAAAGAAACAAGTATCAACAAGAAATGCCCCAGTCGGAAGGACAGAAGGAAGAGTTTTTTTTCTTTTTTTTTTCTCATTTGTTTCAATAACTAGCCTTAATGACTATGACATGCATTTTTGACTTAACGGTCTGATCTATCCAACTAATCCAATCTTTCCTTTTACCATTCTTATGACATTTAAAGTCGGGCTTATTCGTGTCAATCCTTTGCATCAGCTTCATGGCTTACTTTCGACTAGTGGTGCCCCGAGGGGTTTTCACCAACAAGTCTCTCTCATTTATTCATCTCTGCTTACCGTTGCCTTATAGTGCCCGTGAGGGTTTTCACTAGTAAGACACTCTCATCTTTTTTTCTATTTCTTTTGTACACATCTTGACAATGTTCTATGTCGTGTGACAATTGTTGCTCATTGCATGCGTCTCTTGACATTCTTGAAGGCTTATCGGGAGGTCTTATTGGGAAGGTTTTTGGATAGGGTTGAAAAGAAAAGTCAGCATGAAGGCTCAAAGTAGGCTCAAAATGATGGGGTTGTAGACTTAGAACTCTTGGAATCAACTATTTCAAAAAATAAAATCTTTGCCCCAGTTTCAGCTATTGGAGATTTTGAAATTTTTTTGTTTTTGAATTCTTATTTGGTTGGACCGAACCGTGAGGCTGCCTGCGTATTTTTTTATCTTTCTTTCTGGTTTTTTTTCTATCTTTTTTCTCAAAACAAGTTGCCCCAGCTTCTATTTTCTGGGGCAAGGACCTTTGCCAGTTCTTTTCTTCTTTATTTTTTTTCACTTGAACTTTCTAATAATTGCCCCAGTTTGTACTTTTGGGACATGGAATTTTTTTTCTTTTTTTTTCATTTTTTTGACTCTTGACTCTAAACTTGATTCCAAAAGAGGATGGTCAAAGAAAATAACACAGGCGCAAAGGGGTGACAAAGGGTATAAAGTGTTTGGGTAGCAGAAAAAGGGCCTCCCAACCTCGAGAACGCCAAACATAGTATCTTTTCGTCATCACAACATTAACGAACATGTTTGTCTTCTTGGTGTGCCGTGGTTACAAGACACTTTCCATCCCTTAATGTCAAATTTTCCAACAAACTTTAATTGCTTAAACATGCTTAAGCCCGATCTTCACAATGATTTGAAGGTAAATTTTACTCGACCTTAATTCCAAAGTATTTCAACTCTTTATGAATCCTCAAAAGTGTTTTTTCCAGTTATCCAATTTCAGATTAAATCAGTTTCTAAGATCTATCCAAAATTTTCACATGCATGTCATGTCATTAGAACTAGCGAGAAAAGAACTAGGAATAGAATGACACGAAAGGACAAACTGTATTTTATTGTGTAAAGGATGAAAGGGTTTGATAACAAGACAAACAACCTAAACTCCGAGTTACAAACCTAAAATAACACGGATAATGAAAATAGCAACAAAACAGACAGACATGACTCATACAAACAGAATATAAGGATATAAGGGTTTGACTCAATAAAACAAATAAAATTTGGATCACAACCCTGAAATAACCCAGATAATAGAAAAAACATCAAAACAAGCT